GGTTTCCCCCCCCCCTCCCCCTGGGCGCTTGGGGTTTTTTCTCTGGGGGTTTTTGGGGGGGCTTTGTTGGGCCCGGGGGGCGCCCCCCCCCCGGCGCCCCCCGGGTCCTTGCGCCCGTCCCGCCCCGGGGGGGTGGGGGGGGGGGGGGGGTGAACGCGATGGCTGTCGCGTGGCAGCCAGGTATGTCAAGGGTGGGGTAGCGAGACGACTAAAGTCGCCCCGCCTGAACTCTTCTGAGCCTTTTTGCTGATAGGAGGGTACGTCAGTTGGACCGCTACCGTTCTGCTGTAGTGTGCTGTCACGTGAACAGCTGTTTCTGTGAAAACAACACCAACACCAACAGCTACCCATCTTGGGACTTCTGAAAAACGTATGGACAATAACGGGCCTTGCGTCTTGGTGCGGAAATCGACGGACTGGCATGATTTCGTGGGGCGCGACGGCGACGGAAGTGGAGAGCCTAAAATGAGGCCTTTTGGGATGAGCAGGACCAAGGGCTAGGAGGGGCTACAGAAGGGCATGATTCAGGACCCCGCACATGCGTCCAACCAATAAGCGAAGAAACATCCGCACCCTGTCGACAAGGGATACCGAAAGGGGGGAGGTTGTTTGGAATATCCACCAACGAGGAACACGCCTAAGAGACCGACACACCTGTCTTGCAAACACAAGGCAACGAGGGCGACATACAGTATGCAGCAGTCGAAACACACACCACCGAAATCGAGAAAAACACCAACGCCAACGCTGAAGCAAATATCCCGAAAGATCGATCAGACAGAAGCCGGGACGAAGCGCAGTCAGTCCATTTCCAATATCCACCGGAACCGCAGGCAGCATCGACGTCGAACAAGATTAAACAGTCGCGCTGACCTTCGTCTTGTTCTCCTTCTTTTTTTCCATTTTTTCCAGCTCTCTGGCAGCCGCCCTGCGCAGTGTGGGGGGGTGGTGGGTGGGGTGGGGGAAGAACGACCAGAAAGTGTAAATGTCACTATTTCATGTTCGATTGATCAACCTGCACAACCCGCACAACAAGAACCCAAGCGCACGCTTCAACCCCAAAGAGTGCGTGTTTGAGAGAAAGACAGACAGGCAAGCAGGCAGAGGTAGAGAGACAATATGAAGATGGACAGATAGGGAGATGGATAGAGAGATAGATAGATAGATAGATAGATAGAGAGATAGATAGAAAGATAGATAGATAGAGAGAGAGAGAGAGGGGGGGGGAGAAGGACAGAGAGAAAATGAGAGAGAAGGACAGATAGACAGCTAGATACCGGAGTAGGTTGCCCGGCGCCACCTGCCGGCATGACACCCCTTCTTGCGCAGAGTGGAGGAGGCTGGAAACGCGCAGCTCCTCACACAGGTAACTTGCCCTCTGATTTCAACAGGATTGACAAAACAATTCAGGGCAGCATCTATACTGCTGTATCCTACGTGTAAGACAGTCCGGCAACAGAGGAAAGCTAGCACCCCAACGTGACCACGACATTCTCGAGGGAGGGTGTGCAAGAAAGCCAGCAAGACGCCACATGTTCTTGGGCAGCAGCAGCAGCAAGGACAATGCCAGACGCTCACCTAAACTCGGCTTCTTCCGCCTTTATCTCGCTCTTCTTCGCCTCCAAACACGACACCCCCTCGAAGCGCCGATTTCTTCCCCCGCAGGTTGCTCGTTCTCGCCGTCGGGCTCCCATCCCCACCCCACCCGAAACCGTAGCAGGCGCCACAAAGAAGGATGGGAGCGCCGCAAACGCGACCGGGTTTCCGACATAATGTCGCGGCCTTGTTGGCGAGACCGCTAGCTCTCCGCGAGCGTTGCACAGCAGCAGCTGTGCGATAGACAGAGCCAAGGCCCACCCGCAGAGGGAAGAAGAAGGCATCGATCGCCGCTGCTCCCGCACGGAATGAGAACGAGAGGGTATGTAGCGGAGGAATCAGTGTGTGTGTGTGTGTGTGTGTGTCTTTGTTATTAACATCGACGGCGCCAACCGGCTGACCAATGAAAACACGTCAGTCTCAGTGCGGTTGAAAACACAAAACACTTCTAAATGCCACGAACTGGGACCCCGTGATGGGGCGGCATGGTGTGTGTGTGGCTGCTTATCCCCTTTATTCGGGACGTCGATTTTTCAACACCTTTTTCTTGGGTGTGTTTTTGGACGCACCAGCGGGAGTCACACAGGAGAAAGGCAACACAGTTCCCCCCCCCCCTCCACCTTCTTCTGCGGTGCTTGCCTTCGTCCTGTCGAGAGAAGGACCCAGCCGTTCCATCCCCTGGTTCACGTTGAAGTCGAACATTTAGTACTCACGGATTCAATTTACAAGACTCATCGCTGTCCATGATTGTTGGGACACAAATTTGAGCAAAAAAACATGCCGAACTCCGTCTAAACGCTAGAAGGTTGGTAGGTTATCAACTGATCCACTTTGGCGACCAGCTGCCAGGGTAAAGTGGGCAACCTACGATGTGTGTGTGGTGCTGTACAATTGTAAGCGCGAAACCGTCGAACTTGACACATTCATTTGAGTCTCGTGCATGTACGTGCATCAACATAGCATATCCTTCCCAAGAAAAGGCTGGAGGACAGCTTAGACTTTGTACCACCATATGGGAAGGCGAAGGGATCTAGAGTCTGACTTGCCTGCTGGTGTGGTACTGCCTGGTCTAGACTAACTCCCTGCTGCTGCTGCTGCTGCTGCCGGCACCTTGCTTATTCACTGCAGTACTAATTAAGGAATAATAAAAACACACACAGAAAGACTATTTGTACCCATTCGAGATATACCCACAGTCGAACGGGATGTGGTGGAGTCTTTTCAGTGAACAGCAAGCACCGGTTTCAACCACCTTGCTTACTCACTGCAGTACAAACAAGCACCGGTTTCAACGTTCGTTGATTGTAACGGTTCACACAACACATGCTGAATTAATTCAAGAGAGAACGGCCTCCCACGAATGGCGGTGTTGGCTGTCAAGGATTGGAGCTAGCTAACAAGTAAAAGCAGCATGCATCAACACCAACCATGATTCGATATTCGGCAGTCCTTATTGAGTTCGACTCATGTTGTGTGGTTCCAGCGGCAACACGATAAGGGCACCGCTGCTGCTATCGTACTGCACCTACCTGTGGATGGATCGGTTATCTGCTGTAGACCCTCTCCGTTGTTCTTTAGTCTCTCTTTCTCTCCCTCGAAAAAGTCCTCTTTGTCTTTGACTCCGCACGTCGTCCCCCGACCGCGAGCACAATGAGAGCTTTTCTTAGCAGTAGCACGCTGCACCAGCCACCACGCTCCGCCAGGACACTCAATGATGCTGACATATGCTCGGCAAGTTCCGTGGAATGAAAGTTGCTGCAATTCACATACACGGGATTCAGCAAGAATGAATCTGCGTCACCCCGGGGTTGCTTGCAGGCTTGCAGGCCCCTCCGTTGGGTTGCTGCTGTGCTGCACTGCCTGGTCTGCACGTTCATCACTACCTCAGCAAGACCTGGTTTCTAATTAATCCGTGGGAACCAAGTGCTTTGTCCTTCTTCGCAGGGGATAGCATCAAGGCGTCGTGAAACGGGAAGCGAGGTAAGCTCCCACACTTGCTGGGGCAGCAGCCGACCAAAAGTTTGAATTTTGTGGCCTAGACTCACCTCTGTTCTTTTGCCTCTCCCCATCCCCATCTCGTCGAATTTGGAAGGGTACCAGTTGTTCGGTCAACCACCTCCGGCAGCAGTATCCGCTGCTGCTCGGAACATGGTCACGTGCTCTTTGCGAGTTGTGTATCGGCCGTTCGTACTATATATATAGTATGCAATCCAGTCCGTCCTCTCAAGTGTGTCGCGCTTGGCGGCTCAGCTGCTGCCCGCATGTGGCCGATTTCACCTTCCCCCCAACCTTGACCTGATCTAGCTCGTGTTGTGCGATTAGCATGAAGTACTGCGCTACCTCACAGGATGGCTGTCATGAAAACTTCGGTCGTTTTTGTGTACAACAGCAGTGCCGTCGACATACAGAGAGACAGGGGCGGGGCCATGTTGGGAGAGTTTTGAAAATTGAAAGTTTTGGGTCCTTCGCAGGATGCGGACACGCGCTGTCTCTCTCTCAGCACACACACGCCCGGCGATCAAACTGGTTCTACTGCATGTAGTGTCGGCAGCAGCGGCAACATGAAGAGTGTCGACTGTTCTCGACAGACAAGTTGGCTGACTGCGCGCTTGGTTTTGTCCGAAAGCTTCAACGGTCATGTTCATGTTAGTGTTAAGGAATAATTGTTATATGTTAGCGTGCAACTGCTGCTACAGGTATTGTAGCAACAACCAGTTTTTTGGCAACCGAAACGAAAATCAAACCGTTTGCCAGCCACCGTTTGCCAGCCGAACCACTAGTCTACGGGTGCTAATGGTTTGCTTTCGGTTGCCAAAAATAGAAGGTCCGAATGACTCGAAGTCTCCTGATCCAACGCGATGTTCCATGCCTGCTGTGGGTACATGCCATGTCATGCCTTGTTTGGTTTTGTGTAAGTGGGGGGTCTTCAATGTATATCGCCGATTTACGCCCGGCCAATCGACCGCCAGCGCTATTCAGAGGGATCGGCGCTTAAGGGATTACTTGGGTAATTCAGTCTGTGCCCAGCTATTTTACCAACGCTGATATTCAGGGCCACTGACGGTATTCAACCGGCGTTATTGAGGAGCCCCCCGCTGTATGCGGTCCCAGAACGCGTCGTAAGCACCTGGTCGTCACGTGTCGGCAACATCCAGGAGGCAGGCTGGACTTGCCTGCTGATACTCGGCAAACAAGGACCGAACGGCTTACATACACCCGAAAAGGGAGTTGGAGAACACGATTCACTGTACCTCGGTCTGCGTCCTGCTATATGTAACTTGTTTGCGGACACAGACAGATTGGTGGCTCTCCGTTTTTGTATCTCCGTTTGACCCACCCACGCCCCTTTCCTTTTTCTCGCCCGCTCATCCCGGCGGCGTCAGAACAGAACGCCAAGGGCGACTTATCAAAAGGCGGTTTCAAAGTAAGACTAGTTTTGCACGAGAGATGGCCGGCGTTGCGGGAGGAGCTGTCGGGCCGCTTTCGGCGGAGGGCCTTCACGCGGTGCTGCTGCACACCTTCACCTCGGATGCTGCTCAACGGAAGGTATATAGACACAGCAGAGTTGACGCTTTTGGTGCTGCGGTGAAAAAGACTTGGTTCGGTCTTGTCTTTCACCAGGTATCTGCTACCACGCACTCCCGGAAAAATCACAGCAGTTTGGTTCTTCGTTGGCTATCGAGGGCTATGTACGTCAACAGCAGATGCTCCTTGTGATCTCTCTCTCTCTCTCTCTATATCTCTCTCTCTCTCTCTATCTCTATCTCTCGTTTATAGCCTATACCTTGTGTGAATACGGTCACGCTGCTCGTGTCCGATGTATCCTGGCCGATTGGTCGGTATCTGATCCGCAACTGCTTTTGCCAGCCGTTCGTGGCACTACTACTGCCGCCCGAGCAATCACCAAATTTGCTCCCATCGGACACCAGCCCCGAGAGCTGGCAGTAGTATTTTCGATTTTGCGATGCCCCCCGCCGTCGGCGCTGTCCGTACCGTCGCATCCATCAACAGCAGCTCCGATCGTCGCATTGTTTGCAAAAGCTACGGTACCACCATCTGTAGTCTACGCAGGTTTCTCTCAGTAAGCAAACATATTGGATGGAGAATAGAGTCGGCTAAGGTGGGGTTAGGATTTGGGTTAATCTGCGTGCCCCCTGCCTGGTCTTTTTTCGCAATATTGTTACTTTACTTGCGTAGGCATTCTCCATGTGTTGGTCTGCCGTTGTCTTGATCCATCGATGATAACGCCCACCTACTTCTCGCTGTCTTTGTCGGTGTGTCTGCGGAAGGTGTCTGGCTCCCCTATGTTTTATTTTTTTGTCTTCACTTCAAATCAGCGCTCACAGCACTTGTGCCGTTTTACTCCAAAACACGTGGTCACACAGAAGGGTTTTCCTCCCTGAGGCCCCCCCTTTCACCCCTCCTGCGGGCATGCGGCTGTTTTTCTCTCGCAGGCTGCCGAGGCCCAGCTGGCTGCCTTGTGCCAGGCGCCGGAGTGCCTGATGCTGCTGCTCCAAATCGTCGTCGAGCCACAGGTGATCGTAATTTTTTTTCTACAGCCGCCTTTTTTTCTTACGCTAGCCTCCTCTGACCGTTTCATATCGCGCATTCGACATATCCGATTGTCGGACCGGTTTCGAGTTCCCAATCGCGTAGCAGTCCGTTGGGGGCAAAAAAAAATAACTTCCTTTTGACATCACATCCCGACTGGTACTCTCTACACCTCTCGAAGATGAAGTTTGGGAGGTTTAGGTTTCCCAGGAAGATTCTGGCGTTTTGTTCACCAGCCCGCGTTCTTACCGCCGGTGTGGTATCAGTCAAAATCCCAAGATTCTTGCGTTTTTTCAGCAGCCCGCTTTCTTGCCTCTGTTGGTGTGGTATCGGTCTCAACACACAGGTGGACAGGGCCGTGCGGCAAGCTGCGGCAATCGCCCTGAAGAACACGGTTCGGGGGAAGTGGTCCCCTGACCCCGAGGCTAAGACACCTGCCACCTTCCTACCCGAGCACAAGGCAACGTTCAGGTATCTATTGTACATACGAATGGCGTTATCTAGTGGTGGTAGCGGTGGTGGTGGTCGTCGTCTCTTCGACGTCATCGTTTTTGTCCATTTTTTGGGGTTTTGTTTTCCGCAACACACTACACCGTGGCCGTCGCCCTTACCCCTGCCGCCCCTGGTGTAATTTTGATCGCGGTCGTTGTCCCCTGTTTCACTCTTTGCTCGGTGTTCTTGCGATGGCGATTCCCGTGAACGGTGAAAACTTTACACTTCGAAGGAAGTACATGTACTTGCAGTTGTTCTCAGGCCCTTCCGACGCCCTTCCGAGAACAAAAAATGAACCGGACAGACCTTACCAAGTTCCCCTCCCCGCTCCTCCTCCTGTTATGTCACCCCTGCCCTCTTCCTTTCCTGAACTTTCTTCGCACACGTTCGCCAAACGCCTTTCCAACGACAACGACTGCTATACTTTCTTTTTCTTTTTTCTCAAGGGTGAACCTCTTTGAGGCCCTCCTTAGGGAGACGGACAGCAGCGTGAGAGACATACTGGCGGAGACGCTGAGGCTGGTAGCCTCCTACGACTTCCCCGATGAGTGGCCCACTCTGATCCCCACCATCGTGGCCCAGCTGCAGACGGGGGAAGTCCTACGGTACGGAGTAGTAGCATGTTTTAGTTTTTTTTTTCGTGGTGGCACGTCGTGGACACAAGCAGTTAGTCGCCTCTTGTTTGTTTTTGGCGGTTGAGCTTGGACCTCTTTGCGCCTTGAGGCAGGTGCTGCTGATTCATCCAGGTTAGGTGTGCGAAATATGTCCATGGGGACCTAGGGTTGTCGGCGAAGGAGAGACCGTTGATTGGTCACATATCGCGAAAACATGATTTGCCTCTCTCTTTTTTGAACAGATGAGCTTGACTCTCTTTGCTTCTTGAGGGGGGGTGCTGCTGATTCCAACGGGTTAAACATTTGTCCAATTGTATCCCTACAAGGGACCCTGGTTTGTTGGCGAAGGAGACACGGTTGACCCGGGCTATTGCCTCAAAAGGGTAGGCGGGACGAATGGCAAACTTAACTTCAAAACACAGACGAGTTTTTATTATATGGTTTCGCGTGAATCTCTTGGAGTCCAATCGGTTGTGTCAGGTTTTGACCTGTCCAACTCTCAGGCCGTGCTTGATCTCCACCACCCCTTACCCTCTGTTGCTGTCTCACTGCCCCTCCCTCTCCCGCTTCCCGCTACCCAAGTGTGCACAACGCGATGTTGGCTCTCCGCAAGGTGGTGAAGCGTTTCGAGTACAAGCCGAAGGAGGCTAGGGGTCCTCTCCTTGAGATCATGCGCGTGACACTTCCGCTGCTGCTCAACATGTCCAACCAGCTCCTCGCCGAGGACTCCAGTGAGGCCGGGCAGGTGGGAGTCCGCATGCTAGCCGTGTTGCGGATGATGACGATTCCCGTATGCTATTAATAACCTTGCTGATGGTGACGCCGCTTCTAGCGTTGGTGTTATTGATGCTGTTGATGATGCCCTCGTGCTGACGTTGTTGTTGTTGATGATGATGCCACATGCTGGCCTTGTTGTTGATGACGATGTTGCCCTCGTGCTATTTAGCTTTGTTGATGATGGTGATGTTGATGATTATGCCGCATGGCTGGCCTTGTCGTTGATGATGATGATGCCCTCGTGCTAACGTTGTTGTTGAGGATGTTGATGATGCTCGCATGCTATCCTTGTTGTTGAATCTAGGATTCTCTCTTGCAACGTCTCCCCGAAACGTCGTGTAACCCATGGAGCGCAGGGCCGGGAGGGGGCATCACAGAATGCATATAATCACCACCCCCGAGCCCCGTGCCATTCTTCGCACGGGGCACTTGCCCTGTTTATACCTATCATAGTATTGTATTGTTATGGCGGGGGTGTTGATTCTCTTGTTGCCTTCGCCCGCCGTATTTGAAGCCGAGTCCTGCCGCATCTTCTCTCAATTTTTCTGGACGACGTGCCGTACAGTCTGGCATTTCAGGACAAACTACCTTGTGTGTGTTGTGTTGCCTTTGCAATTGTTTGGGGGCACGCATCGACAATGTTAAGCGGGTGACCAATGAGATCAGGCAATTGGCTCGCGGGACCGCGAAAGCGAAAGTATTGGAAACGTTGTAGTGCGAACGGGGCTCCCGGCAAACAAAGTTAATCTGTTGCGTTCGTGTGACAAGAGTGCGCCCCCCCCCCCCCTCCACGCATGCCTATCCCCCGCCGGAACATGCCCACCCAGGTGCTGAAAATTGCCCTCAAGATCTTCTGGTCCTGCACGCAGTTTGCGGTAAGCGTGGGGTCTGCAGCAGTCAGATGATTAACGACATGCCCCTGTTTTAAGCGGCTACAACATCGCGTGACACGACTGCACCGTGACTAATAGTCGCTCTATCGGCAATGGCGACCTGCCCTATATAGCGTCCATATTCCCCCCTGACGCTGTTAATAAGGGTCGTCGCTGAACTGGGCCCATAGCTGTGTCAGGTGTTGGTCTTGTTGCTTGTCCTATCTCCTGGGTGGCTAAAAAGCGCGAGTGTCGCCAGTATGGTTTGTGAAAAAAGAACTTGGCGCCTTCTCCTGAGAACGCGCCCCTTGTGTCCGAGGAATGGGCGTTTTTCTTCCGTATCACGGGTGCGCGGCATCGACCTTCTGTTTTGGTTTCTCTCTCTGTAAGTGCCGTTGAGAGAGAGAGAGCCGCTGACGATATGCGAAAAAACTGGTGGTGTTGTTCTCTCGTTAAGGAGTAGATATTCCGCTTTTTCTCGCCCTCACGGGCTGGTCCTTTTTTTTTTTCCATCCTTTGTTCGTCCTCCGGTCTGTTGGCGCCCTTCCGGCTGACTCAACCAAACGGCTGCGTCGGAATGAAATTGCTTTTGATGGTTTCGACAGATACCATCAGGGGCAGACTTGGAGGCCCTCAACGTACCCGGATGGATGGACTTGTGCTCAAAGGTGGGGAGGGGAGCTGCGCGACGCTGCGCTGTGCTGCCGTTGGCAACAGGAGGTTGCTGGTTTGGTTGTAGTCTGCGGAGAGCAAGCTACTTGATTGTAGTCTGCAGAGAGCAAGCGATGTGGGGGAGGAGTGGGGAAGGGTGTAGAAGTGTGGTTATTTATCTCTGCGTCCGTCGTGGGTAAATCGAGCTTTGAAAATCGGTCCAGGCGGTGTAAAATCTTATGCAACCTACGGTAGTCATCACCGTTCCTCTTAGTCGAAACCGTTCCGCTTAGTCATCACCGTTCCGTTAAGTCGTCACCGTTCCGCATAGACATAACTGCTGTCCCGGTCGGTCGGCACCGTTCCTCTTAGTCGTGACCGCTCAGTAATCACAATTGTTTAGTCGTCACCGTCCCGTTTAGACTTCGCCGTGCCGCTTAGTCATCACCGTTCCGTTTAGTCGTCACCGTTGCACATAGCTATTACCCTCCCGGTCGGTCGCCACGGTTCCGCCTAGTCGTCAACCGCTTTGTTATCACAGTTCTGCTCGGTCGCCACCGTTTCCGCTTAGTAGTCGCCGTTCCGGTCAGTCATGGTTCCGCTTACCCATCACGGTACCGCTCACCCGTTTCCGCTCTTCGCGACGCCACCCGCTTGTGTTTTACTTTTCATTTGCTGTTGTCAGCACCGTCCACATGCATGTTTTTATTTTGCTGTTGGCGACAGCACCCATTTTTTATCAATGTTTGCTGTTGTCGACACCATCCACCCGTTCTTCCTCTGTTTCATGTTTGCTGTTCCTTCCAACAGGCGACACGATCCCCGCTTGTGTGTGTTGGTGTGTTTCATTTTGCTGCTGACGACACCATCCACACCATGTCTTTTTCATTTTGCTGTCCCTTCAACAGGTGCTCGCGAAACCGCCAGCTGGGCAGCCTGAAGAAGAAGACGACAGGGTCATGTGGCCCTGGTGGAAGGCCAAGAAGGTACTTGCTGCAGGCCAGAACGCGGCACCCTGCCACTATTCATTGCTCATCTCTCGAGATCCACGGTTGCTCAACAGTCTGCTCGAGATAGTGACCACGCATACTCTACTAAAATCCTCTTCTGTCCGTTTCGTCACAAGGGTTCTTGAATACCCAAGACACCCCATACCGTTTGCGAAAAGCGACGAAAGCAACAGCGGCAATCACATCACCACAACGTCCTTTTTTGGTTGGTTGCTTTTACTCCAGTGGGCCGGCAACATCGCGCAAAGGTTCTTCACCCGGTACGGCCAGCCCCACTACGCTGAGGAGAACATGACCGACTTCGCGGAGGCGTTTTCCAAGCAGCTTGCCCCCAAGTTGCTAGAGCAGGTCAGAACATTGCTGTAGGAAAGAGTTTGCGTTTCCCAAGCACAGGTTGCCCCCAAGTTGCTAGAGCAGGTCAGAACATAGCTGTAGGAAAGAGTTTGCGTTTTCCAAGCAGCTTGCTCCCAAGTTACTAGAGGTCAGAACATGGCTGTAGAAAGAGTTTGGGTTTCCCAAGCACAGCTTGCTCCCAAGTTGCTAGAGGAGGTCAGAACATTGCTGTCGAAAGAGTTTGGGTTTTCCAGGCAGCTTGCCCCCCAAGTTGCTAAAATAGAGCAGGTCAAAATATAGCTGTAGGAAAGAGTTTGCGTTTTGCCCCCAAGTTGCTAGAGCAGGTTCGAAGATACTGTAGCTGTAGGAAAGAGTTTGCGTTTCCCTAGCAGCTTGCCCCGAAGTTGCAAAGTGTAGTAGAGCAAGTCGAAACACGCCTGTTAGGAAGAGGGCACGTATTCAGCTCTCTCTGTGCATGGTGTTCCCTTTTCCCCAAGGTGCTATTTACAGCAGGTTCGAACACGGCTCTAGAGGAAGGAGTTAAAGTCTTGAGTTTTTTCTGTGCATGGTGTTCCCTGGAGCGGTGTACCGTACGCGCCCTCTCTTAGGAAACCAAGTCTCCAGGAATTTTGACTTTTTTTTGGGGGGGCGGGGTGTACTCATAGCCGTACGTGCCGTAGTCATTGGGATTGTGGTATTTGCTCAAGATAGTGGGCTCAGCGGCTGGCGCGACACCGAATACCCTGTGCTCAACGGCACAAATCACAAAGGTGGAGACGCAATTTTAGATGCCAGGCTCAGCCTGATGTCGTACTATTTTTGTGAGCGGGCCGGTAGTACCGTAGGATGCGGAGAGATGGCACCCCCCCCCGCCCGTAGACCGATTTTCCAAGCTCGATTGCTCCACGACCAAGATTGTGCCAACACCAAAGATTGCGGTTTTGGAGACATCTCGTCGAGGGCTTTCCGTAGAACTATCGGTCTATTTCCGTACCCCCTTGGTTGTGGAACAATCGACCTTTGACAGGGGCTACGGGAGGGGTGTAATCTCGCCGCCTATTACGGTAGTTGTACCACGAGCTTGTTCATGTGTGCTCCCTTTTGGTTCATGTTTCGGCGGCTGTTCGTCCTCGTTGTTACCCTCTTTGTTTGGTTTGTGTCGTGGTCGATGTCGTCATGGCCGTTCGTTGTGCCGCTTGTTGTTGGAGATGGGCACGCTAGACCGACGAGGTCGAGGGGAGTGCTCTGCACGTTCGGCCGAGTACACAGTTGTTGTCAACGACGTCATCGCCTTCGTGCTGCGTGCTTTTCACGGCATGGACTTTTTGTGCTCCCTTCAGGTGATGAACGCGTAAGCGATGCGATCGAAAAGAGAGCATTCAAAAAGCCTCCCTCCCAAGGACAACCTAGTACATGGTCGACGTCCTAACCCTGTAACCCTAGCCCTAAGCTTGATGGCGTAAACCTTTATTCTGTACCCTCCTCGGCAGGTGATGAACACGTTGGCGATGCGGTCGAGGGGGGAGTACTGCACGGACCGCGTGGTGCACGCCTGCTTGGTATTCGTGGGACCGGCGACGGAGCTGTCTCACACGTACAAGCTGCTCAAGCCCCACCTGGACTTCCTCCTGTTCCAGGCGGTCTTCCCCGAGCTCTGCCTGTCTAAGAAGGACGTCGAGGTGTGTGAGGCAATGGCGTCATCGTCGATGTTGATGTTGATGTTGATGTTGATGTTGATGTTGTCGGTCTTGATGTTGATATTGTCGATGTTGATGTTGGTTTTTGTTGATGTTGATATGTTAATACTGTCGATATTGTCGATGTTGATGTTGATACTGTCGGTCTTGATGTTGAAATTGTCGGTCTTTATGTTTTAATGCTGCTGCCGTCGTAACCATGTTGATTTTTTTTTTTTTTGTGGGTATGGTAAGTAGTCATCGTAGTCGTTGTTGTTGTTGCTGCTGTTGGCTGTTGCTGCTGCTGCTGCTGTTGTCTGTGGTTGTCGTTATCGTTGATTTTGATGTTAGTCATGTGCATGGTGATGTATGTGCAGCATTGACGTCATCGTGATGGTGGTCGTAGTAATTGTTGATGTTGATGCTGCTGTTGCTGTCGTTGTTGTTGTTGTTGTTGTCGTTGTTGTTTCGCTGCTGCTGTCGGTTGTGGTTGTGTTGCAGACGCATCACGTCCACCCAACCTGCCCTAACCTCGTGTACATCCTCGCCTTGCGCCGATGCACCAGACGTTTGACGCAGACCCTCACGAGTTCATCCACAAGAACAACGACCCCTCGGAGGACTACCTGTCGCCCAGGGTCCCCGCGGTGAACTGCATCATCGACCTCGCCAAGTACAGGGGCAAGGACATCCTTCCCAGGGTAAGATAACGGTAGAAGCTTCCCAGAGTGAGCGTTAAAATTTCCAGGGTGAAAGTAGAAACTTGCCAGGGCAACAGTAGAAACTTCCCAGATTGAGAGTAAAGCATTCCTAGGGTATGAGTAGAAAATTCTCAGGGTGAGACTAAAAAATTCCAGGGTAACAGTAGAAGCTTCCCAGGGTTAGAGTAAAAAAAGATCAGGGTGATAGTGAAGTAGAAACTTGCCAGAGTGAGAGGAGAAACTTCCCAAGGTCAGAGTAGAAAATTCCTACCGGTAGGTTGAGAGTGGCAACTTCCCAGGCAAAGAGTAAACACTCCAAAGGGTGGGAGTAGGAACTTCCCAAGGGTGAGAGTAGAAATTTCCCAGGGCGAGAATTGAGAATAGAAACTCTCAGGGGTGAGAAACTTCCTATTGCAAGAGTAGAGTGGGAACTTCCGGACTGAGAGCAGGAACGCTTCCAAGCAGACTTACACACTGCCTAGACGTGCTCCGCATGCGTTTGCATTTTGTTTTACTTGGAAAGAAATTTACAGGGGTTCAAGATAACTCCCATCCCCTGCTCCCCGCCTCCACACGCCGTTCTCTAATGCATACTTCGAAGTACATATATTTTTGTGTTCCTCTCTTCGCTTTTCTTCGGATCATCAAGAATTTATCCGGGTATAACATATTGTGCCAACGCCCCCCCCCCCTCCGTCTGTTTTTTTTGTTTGTTTTTTCATCTTTAGCTCTTGACGTACACTCAGAACGTTTTGACGACGTACGCGGCGACGCCGGAGGCTCAACGTGACCACCGTGCGAAGGACGCAGCCTTGGTTGCCCTGGGGTGTGTTACAGTACAAGTACTCGTAGCTGTTGGTTGGTTGGCTGATGATGATGCGTCGTGTGTGCAACAGTGCACGGACCTGTGCTTGCCTTCGTACAGTAGCGGTCCCGATATATCGCGGCCCCGAATAGCGCGGTTCCCGCCATAGGTATCGTGGTAAAATAATTCCTTGGCAACGAAGCTCATCACTTGTATTGAATTTGTATTCAGCGACCTTCCCCCAATAGCAGTCCTGATACAACACGGTGCTTTTGGTCTGTCACTAGGCCGCGATATATCTCGACCACCACTGTAGGTGCATCGTCGTGGTGCAAGATTAAGGTTTATCCGGCTGATGCCACTGGCTACGCCACACCTGTTCCTCAGGGTACGCTGACGTGACTTCACCACCCGTGTAGCGGCAACGCACGCAACCACTCTTGCACGAAAGACAGCGTGCTGACCTTGTTGTGTGTGCCTGCATTCTCTGCGCGTCTGGTGTATCAGTAGTTGCTGTACATCCCGCAACGCCCTTTTTTTGCTGACGTCGTGTTTCTTATTCTTGGCTTGGTGGATAAGTTTACGTATCCCCATTCTATATCCTATAAAATAATAAATACATAGGTTACTCTAATTTAGCACGCTAGATCGTTGGTAGTTGAAGCACCCTATATGGTATATAACAGACCCCCCCCCCCCCTCGTCTCTCCATTTGGTCCTTAATCCGGTTTCTTGTTCTTGTTGTTTGTTTGCCGTTGTTGTGGCCCCAACAGGAGCCTATCGACGGTCCTTCTCCGGTCGAAGAAGTACAAAAAGTCGTTGGAGACGCTCATTGTCCAGCACGTACTGCCGGAGTTCCAGAGCCCCGTGGGGTGAGCGCCGTCAGAGGGCATTTGAAGTTTTTTTGTTGTTGTTGTGGTTGTTGCTGTCGGTGTTGTTGTTGTTGTTGTTGTTGTTGTTGTTGTTGTTTTTTGTTGTTTTTCTCTTCCCTTTGATGGAGACGCCTTGCGTGGTTTAGAAGCCGACTGCAACAGGGCCGTACGACAACATGACCCCTTGTCCATCATGCTTACATGTAGCTTCCACGGGAAATCGGGTTTACCTGTATCGAAAGCGTAGCATGTACCGCAACGAGTGGTGTACAAGTACAAACCCTTTGTGCGGCATGTGGCAATCAAATTGTCAACAGTCGGATGAGTCGGGGCACGGTAGGCTATTCTTGACTCTACCGAAACTATTCTTTTGCGGGAATAGGATGTCAAAAGTCGTACTTCTGTATGTCTGGGCACTGGTCGACAAGCTATTCTTGACTCCACCCGTAACTTGTCTTGGGAGTCTTTCAGACCAAAAGAGACGGGGTAAAAGCTCGTGAGAAAATAACTGATGTGTAGGTAGCAATGGCACCAAAGGATACACCGAAATGCAATGGCTGACCCGCACCGCTGCTTTGCCTTTGTCCTATCGACTCGATTGACAGGTTCATGCGATATCGCGCGTGCTGGATGGTGCAAAGATTTGCCCAGGCGGAGTTCAAAGACCCGCAGACGATAATGCACTGCCTCAACTCCACGCTTCAGGTGAGGAGCTTGACGGCTTGTTTTTTAGTTTTGTTCGGTGTGTGTGTGTGCCGCGCATGCCGTAGTCGTTATAGAACATTGACCTCGCATCCCTATATAGCCGGGACGGAGAACGCCGGGTTCTCACCGGACCAGGCTCTCACATCACCAAGCGCGAAGGAGAGGTATTTCGTTTTTTTTCGGGGGGGTTACCTTGTTTGCTCTAGGCGCGAATGGGTTTTACCACAGGCTCTCTCTCTGTATTGCGCGGTTCCCGCATTAATTTGTACCACAGTTTACCACGGCATTGTTTTCCACGGAAACTTGTTCCCTCGCCCTGAAGAGGAGGGGAGAGAAACTGTTGAACAGAGGCAGCCCCGACCGTTTCTTTCGTTGAAGACATCACCGGCAACAGATACTGTCAGTCTCTTGTCTCAAGAGCAACAGTTAGCTACGCACGGCTTTATTCTCCGCCCGCCGTTCTTTTTTGTCGCCGATACGATATGGCAGTGCTTGCGGGATAGCTCTCTCCCAGTCCAGATCGAAGCTGCGTCTTCGCTTCGGTACCTGATCGAGCTCGACGAGGCGGAAGAGCCCGTGAGGCAGGTGCTGCCCGACATCCTCAACGAGTACTTCCGCATCATGCAGGAGATCGGCCTTGACGAGGTATGGTACGGTACGGTACGGCGGACTGGGCACGAAGTACCGTGGGTGGCATGACGTAAGATACCATACCCTATTGGACCGATATTCTGTTTTAACATGTTGGAAAAAGCATTGAATCGGGGAAGTTGGGTTAGGGTTAGGGTTAGGGATAGGGTCTGCGTACCCCCTCCCTGGCGGTGGGTGATCTGTCCTGTCGGAGCAATGTTCGCCTTCTCTCGAGGACACGTGGTCAATGGCCTAACCGCTAAGGCATGCAAAACATGAATACGACCTCCCCCCCCAATCAACTCAAGGCGTACCATGTGGTTTGGCACAGCAAGGATGATGACCAGCTTAGGGTGCATTCTTGCGAAACTTAGCCTAGGCCTGCGAAAACCCGGCATATGGCTCCGTCCGTGCAGCATTGTATAGGGTTGCGCGGTCAATGGTTTACCAACTACGGCATACGTTTACGTGAGTCCCCCCCCCCCCGGCCGTGATTAGGTGGTGGCGGCGTTGGACCTGATCATCGAGAAGTTCCAAGACCACATCGCACCCCACGCCTCGGCGCTCACGCAGCAGCTCACGAGATGTTTCTTGGAATATGCCTCGGTGAGTGAGGGCGGACGATGCCCCCTAGACGCAGAGACGGGTGGCCACGAAAGCGTGGGGCTTGGATGAAGGAAGTGGTGTACAGCAAAGGCGCGATTTGTGGTTTTGGTTAGGACAGTTGTTATGGTAGATTTTCCCAGATTGGAATCGGGGGGTCGACAGATAATGGTAAGCCACCCCCCAAAAGAGGAGGTCTGCGTACTAGATAGCAAGCAGAGCCCACCACGGCACTTGGTTACTTAGTCCTCGCCTCACAGAGACCTGTTCCTGATCAAACCACGGAGGCTGTACAGTCCACTGCTGTAAGCTTTGCGGAGCCAAGTTTGGGCAGCTAGAACGGAGGGTGAACAGAGTAGCCTCGGATATGAAAGCAAATTCACAATTCCCAGATTGGAATTTCAACCAATTCCAGTTTGGAATCCATGAGGAATTCCCACGCAGGGTCGTCCAATATTCCCAGATTGGAATCCTGTTTTTCCAAGCACGTTGAACACACACTCCACCCCAGCTCCCCAACTTGGCTCCGAGAGGCTCACAGCAATGTAGCCTACAGCCTCGAAGGTTTGATCGCAAAAGGGTTTCTGTGCGGCGAGTGCTGATTGACAAAGCGCTTTGGTGTGCTTTTCCGACCAAGTGCGCAAAACTCCTGCTGACGCATGGGGGTTTGGATGTAAAAGGCGTAATATCGGGATTCCCGGTTCGGAATTATGTCCATAACAACTGGCCATACTGTAGTCATTAGTACTGGAAGCGGGGACAATGAAACCGTCAGAGAGGTTGGGGTGAAACAAGGCTATTGCGGTTTGGTCGGCATTTTCATCAAGAGACCGGGGGTCATGGAACTATCAGAGAAGTTGGGGTGCAACGATTCGCGCTTCTGGTTGGTTTTGTCATCAACGATTCACATCCATGTTGTGATACCCTCTGGAAAGCCTTCCTTGCTACAGTACGTTTAGGTGCAGCAGCTAAGCTTCGTCAGAGGCCGCAAGAGAAAGAAGGTTGACTCAAGACCGTGTATCACGAATAATAACAGGCATCGCGCGTCATGCCCATCATACCCATATCATGATCCACGTGTCCCCCCGGAGGCCGCGTAGATTCAGTACTCTGCCGAGCACCCCCGGACAAGCACGGCCTCTTTTTTGTGAACTCAAAGTGTACATTCACCAAAGGGTGAGCCATCATTATCCGTGGTACTTGAAGCCACCGACCGTCTTACGTCATGTGGCCGAGGGCGATGGCGCTGTTCTCTCATCCGGCCAATCAACGACTTCACTAATCAAAACTCGGAATTTTCTCCCCACCAATCAGTGGAGGGGCCTCATTGTCGAACCCACCCATCGCCCGACAGCATGTGAACCAGGTCACCTGGTGGAATTACCTCATCGTTAGAGTATCCGACGGCGTGTTGACCTACAGTAGTCGAACCAACAAAATTGTGCATGTGCCTGATGGCGTGAGAATCGATCAGCGGTTCAAATGAGATACGTTTTGAGGGAAACGATGCACGATATCGACGCATCATCACAAGAACAGCCGATAGCGTGTGGTACGAATTGTGACACAGAACTTTCCGCTTGGAGATTTATTTGCCGGAAACACGCAATCAAGATATCGACGCACCACAAGTACAGTAACCGATGGCTTGTTTTGAATGGATTGTATCAAAAACTCTCCCCCTTCTTCATGCAATAAAAATATTGGGAACACACTCACGGCAGGCGGGTAGCGACGACGACGATGCGGCGATGGCGGCGAGTCAAGTCATCGAGGCCGTTTCTACCGTGCTGCAGAGCACCAAGGCAGTGCCGGAGCTCTTCCCGGCGATGGAATCGCACCTCTTGCCTATGCTTGCGCAGGTCCGTACATAAGTGTGCCATCGTAGGCTAGCAGGAGCTTACTCACTGCTGTACATGTCGATGGTCGAAAAGAGATGTGCTGGGCGCAAACGTTAGTTTTTTCTGTTTTTTGTTTTTCTGGCTTTGTTTTGTGTTGTCGCACGCCTCTTTGCCTTGTCGGAGGTGTACCAATGCAAGCAACACATGAGAGTACTCTAGATATCACCCCCCCCCCCCCCCCCCCCCCCTTTTTTGCCCACCGGGGTGGGGTTTCCTCCCTTGGGAAACAACTTTTAAAAAAAACCCCCCCCCCCGGGGTTTCCCTCCGGAATGGGGTTTCCTCCCTTGGCAACCAACCCGTAAAAAAAACCAAATTCCTTTCTGAAACCCGCAAACAAGGTAACCTTTTTTTTTTTCCCCCGTTTTTTTTTTGGGGGGAAACCAAAAGGGGGGCCAAAAAAAAAAGGTTGGGGGGGGGGAAAAAACCCCCCCCCCCCAAAGGGGGGAACCCCCCCCCTTGTGAAAAAATGGGCAAACATCCCCCAAGGAACTACCCAAGGGTTAAAAATGGCCCCGGGAATGAAACCCCCCAAAAAAAAATTAAATCAAAACCCACTGTCATCCCTAACCAAAGAAATAAGGGCAAAAAGCCCAAAACCCCTAACAAGAAGGAACGCACCCCTTATGGCAATCCCCCAAAAACCCAAGGGGGTTCCCCCCTGGGGAAGTGAAAACCCGGGCCCGGGAAAAACCCGGGGGGTCCCTCCCCGCTTTTTAAGGAAGCCAAGGCAAAGGGCCAAACAATAACGGAAGGAAAAACACAAAAACCCCCCCCCCCCCCCCCCCGGCTTTGGCCTGGTTTTTTTTTTT